TGGTTTTATTCTTCCATTAATTTGATAAAATTCATCATGTGTATTAATTTGCGATTGTGGAAGATCATGGCATTTCTGAGATAAATTCCAGTTGAAGGTTTTGCGTAAGCTTCAGCATGTGGTTTTGGTTTTGTTAGGCTAGAATTTTGTTGAGAATCTTTGCATCTTTTTCATTATGGATATAGGCCTTCAGTTTTCTTTGTATTTCGTGTTTTGTTATCTTTTGTGGTTAAAGTAATGCCAGCCTCTCAAAAAGTGTTTGTTAGAGTTTATTATTTTGAAATAGTTGGAAAAGTATTGGAGTTGCTTTTTAAATCTTCAAGCTCCTTGGATACCTTTATTCAAAGGTATTTAAATTTTAGTAGCTATTATGAATGGAATGGATCTTCGAAGTTGTTTCTCAGCCCTGATATTGTGTTTATACAAATTCTATTGATTTTTGTGTGTGGATTTTCTATCCTGCCACTTTTCCAAACTCTATTATTAGTTCTAATGGTCTCATGGTGGAGTCTCTTGGTTTCCCCATTTATAAAATCATGTCCTTTTGAAAGAGGGATAGTTTGACTTCCTCTTTCCCAATTTGTATCCATTTGATTTCTTTTTCTTGCCTAATGGCTCCAAAACTTCCAGATCTATATTGAATAGCAATAATGAGGGTACATCCTTGTCTGATTCCAGATCATAGTTGGGAATGCTTCCAACATGTCCCCATTCATAAGATGCTATCAGTCGGTTTGACATAAATTGCCATGATTGTGTAGAGGAATGTTCTTTCTGTTGTCAGTTTCCCTGAGGTTTTCTTTCTGAAAGGTTTTTGCATATTTTTCAGCTGTTTTCATCTATTGAAATAATTATGTTTTTAAATAGGTATTTAATTGAAAGGCAGATTTGTGGAGTGAGGGAGAGAGATTTTCCAAGAATTTCCAATTCATTGGCAAACAGTACATTGTAGCAATTCCAGATGATTGTTTTTATTTATTAGGTTGCTAGTATTACAGTTTGTTTTTCCTTTCTGATTTTACTGATTGGGGTCTTTTTTTTTTTTTAATTTTTTGACAGGCAGAGTGGAGAGTGAGAGAGAGAGAGACAGAGAGAAAGGTCTTCCTTTTTGCTGTTGGTTCACCCTCCAATGGCCGCCGCGGCTGCCACGCTGCAGCCAGCGCACCGCGCTGATCCGATGGCAGGAGTCAGGTGCTTCTCCTGGTCTCCCATGGGGTGCAGGGCCCAAGTACTGGGGCCATCTTCCACTGCACTCCCGGGCCACAGCAGAGAGCTGGCCTGGAAGAGGGGCAACTGGACAGAATCTGGTGCCCCGACCGGAACTAGAACCCGGAGTGCTGGCACCGCAGGTGGAAGATTAGCCTAGTGATCCGTGGCGCCGGCCGATTGGGGTCTTATTCCTGTTTTGTTGTTGTTGTTGTTGTTTTGGAGATTTTTCAGCAATATTCTAAAAAATATTTTTAACCAGATTTTCATATCAGTGATCTTTTTTTGGACAGGCAGATTTAGACAGAAAGAGAGAAAGAAAGGTCTTCCTTTTCATTGGTTCACTCTCCAAATAGCCACTATGGCTGGTGCACTGTGCCGATCTGAAGCCAGGAGCCAGGTGCTTTCTCCAGATCACCCATGCGGGTGTAGGGCCCAAGCACTTGGGCCATCCTACACTACACTCCCGGGCCACAGGAAGGAGCTGGACAAGAAGAGGTGCAACCGGGACAGAATCTGGCACCCCAACCGCGACTAGAACCCAATGTGCCGGCGCCGCAAGTGGAGGATTAGCCTATTGAGCCATGGCGCTGACCTCAATGATCTTATTATAATGTTTTTCTTCAGCTTTGTTCATTTCTTCTCAAATTTCCATGATTTCTGTCATCCTACTAATTTGGAGTTTGATACGTTGTTTTTCTAGATTTTGTGATGCATTGAAAAGCTCATTCATTTGATTCCTTTCCAATATCTTGTTGGCACAAGTTGTTACAAAGTTTCGTGTTAACATTGCATTTGCTGTGTCCCATACAATTTGCAGTGTTGTACTGTTATCTTCAATCATTTCCAGAAATTTCTGGATTTTCATTTTGATTTCTCCTAAGACCAGCCATTCATTCAGGAGCATGTTGCTCGGAATCCACGTGTTTGCATATGTTCTGGAGTTTCCTAAGTTGTTGATTTCCCGTTTCCTTCCATTTTGATCATAGAAGATGCATGAACTGATTTCAGTTATTGAGTTTTCTAGGCTTGCTTTATGGCCTATCATATGTTGTGTCCTAGAGAAAGTTCCAGGGACTGATGAGAAGAATGTGTATTCTGCAAGTTGTGGGATGAAATGTTCTGAGTTAGGACTTCCAGCAAGGCAGTCTGTTGCCAGGGACAAAGCGATGAGGGACTGAGTCACCTACAGTTTTGACATAGGGGAGGGGCTAGGAAACGACCAAGAGAAGACAGTTCAGGTGTTCTTGTAAGATACCGTTTTTTAGTTAAGAGATCCAAATTCCATGCATTTCATAAATGCAATTTAGGTACACAGTGATAGTCCCGACCCTACCTCCCTGTCAGGAGCACAACACGTCGTGCACTTGGTTGTCTGACTCTGGGCAGCAACCCTGGCACCGACCAGGCCAAGGATGCTGGGCAGGTACCTGCTGTTCAGTAGCCGTGACCATGGGCAGTTTGGCAGAGCTGTGCACCATGTGGGAGTGGCTGGGTGTTAGCCCGGGAGGTGTAGAGAGCTCCACACTGCCCTGAGCTTCTGGTGGGCTGGATTGGGAGCAACGATGCCCTTGGAGTGCTCCTGATGATGGTGAGCACAGGAAAGGCATGTCAGACTGGGGCTCAGGCTGCAGCCCCTGGTTCTTCAAGGCAGTGCGGCCTGTTCTGCTGACGCTGTGTTTCTGGGAGGAAGGGATGGGTGTTAGTTGGATGGTACTTGCGCAGTAGGCCTAGGGGAGAAGTAGGCTATATCCAAGGCAGTGTCGTTGTTGGCTGGCATTGCCAGTAGTGGTTCAGTAGGCTTGTAGAGTGCAGGATGGACTTGTTGTGTTTTAGTTTATGGACAGAGAGATGCCCAGGGCCTGCCTCAAAGGATGTGGGATCCCGGTGCTTCCCAGCAGTGTTTTCCCTGCAAATCCACTGGTTCAGAGGCAGCGGGGGCTGGGCAGGGGCTCAGGTGTGGGGAAGCCATGATGCAGCTGTCTGCCTCGCCTCCCCCCCAAGAAGGACTGGGAAGTGAAACTAATGCAGAGTGGACACTGACCCTCAGCTGCCAGGCAATCTTGCTCTTCTGGAGACTCTCGACTTCCTGTCATCAGTTCATGGACATCAGGTTTGATTCCGTATCTCAGCTATTGTGAACTGAGCTGCAGTAAACCTGGAGGTACAGATAACCCTTTCAAATCTGCTGATTTCATTTCCTAGGAGTAAATCACCAGGAGAAGGATTGCTGAGTCATACGGTAGATTTATTTTCAGCTTTCTGAGGTATCTCCATACTGTCTTAGGCATTGGCTTCCCCAGGTTACATTTCTACCAACAGTGTATTAGGGTAGCATAGTGCCAGATCCTCAGCAGCATTTATTGTTTGTTGATTTTAGTATGAGAGCCATTCTGACTGTGGTGTAGTGAAACCTGATGGCTAGCGATCCTGAGCCTTTTTTCATGTGTCTGTTGGCCATATGAAGTTCCTCTCTTGAAACATGCCTGTTCAAGTCCTTTGCCTATTTTTAAATGGAATTTTTGTTTTGTTGCTGTTGAGTTCCTTGAACTCTTTGTAGATTGTGGATGTTAATCTTTTATAAGTTTCATAGTTGGCAGATTATTTTCTCTTATTCATTTGGTTGCCTCTTGACTTTGCTCTTTTTAGATTCTGGATATTAATCTTATTTTTTGACAGGCAGAGTTAGACAGTGAGAGAGAGAGGGAAACAGAGAAAAAGGTCTTCCTTTTTCCATTGGTTCACCCCCGATTGGCTGCTGCGGCTGGCACACTGCGCTGCTCCAAAGCCAGGAGCCAGGTGCTTCTCCTGGTCTCCCATGCGGGTGCAGGACTCAAGGACTTGGGCCATCCTCCGTTGCACTCCTGGCCGCAGCAGAGGGCTGGACTGGGAGAGGAGCAACAGGGACAGAATCTGGCGCCCTGACTGGGACTAGAACCCAGAGTGCTAGTGCTGCAGGTGGAGGATTAGCCTATTGAGCAGCGGCGCTGGCCTGGATATTAATCTTTTTTCAGTTTCATAGTTAGCAAATAGTTTCTCCCATCCTTTTGGTTGCCTCTTTACTTTTCTGAGTGTTCCTTTTGTAGTGCAGAAGCTTCTCAGCTTGATGGAATCTCATTTGTTTGTTTCAGCTTTTATTGTGCTACTGGCATTTTTTTGCCAGAAATCTTTCTCTAAGCCAATGTCTTCCAGTATTCCCCAATGTTCTCTAATAATTTGATGATATTGAGTTTTAGATTTTGTTCCTTGACGTGTTTTAGTTGCTTTTTGTATAAGGTGTAAAGTATGGGTCTTCTTTCATACTTCTGCATGTGGAGGTCCAGTTTTCTCAGGACCTTGTTTTGAAGAAACGGTCCTTTGAACCTGGGATTGATCTTTAGCTCCTTCTTGAAAGACAGATTAGTTGTAGATGTGTGTGTTATTTCAGGTGTTTCCTTTCTGTTCCTTTGTTCTATATATAATTTTTTTGCCTCTAGCAATCTGTTTTGATTGTAACTGTCCTGTGCTGTGTCTTGCAGTCTGTTATTGCGATGCTTCAAGTTTTGTCAATGTTGTATAAGGTTGCCTTCTCTATTCAGATGTTCTGCGTTTTCATATGAATTTTAGCATTGTTTTCTCTCCATCTGGGCAAAATGCTATTTGACCTTTGCTCGGGATCCCATTGTGTCTGTAATTTGCTTATGGTAGAATGGATATTTGCATTTTGTTGATTTTACTAATGAGTCAACGTAGAAGATCTTTCCATTTTTGAGTGTCATCTTCCATTTCTTAAGGTTTTGTAACTTTATTTGTAGACATTTTCATGGATATGAAACTGGACACCGAGTTGACGCTGAAGTTCAGCTGCTGGGTAATCTTCCATTTCTGGAGCTTGCTCAGCTTCCTTGTAAAACCCAGCTGTGCCTTCACCCTGGACAGGAGCATCTGGTTAGTACATGTGGCTGCGTCCTGTTGATGGCAGCCCTTGGGCCCAAGGAGGAGGGAAGGGAAGGGAAGGGGAGGGGAGGCGAGGCGAGGCAAGGCTAGGCGAGGTGAGGCGAGCCAACCCTATGCCCTGGGGTTGGGCTGCCAGGCTGACAGCGAAGTGGACTTCCAGACTTTGTGAAGGAAGGTCAAGTGGTGGGAGCCCTATATACATGAGGAGGCAGAAATGTGGGGACAGAGCGTTCATAGAATAGAGGAACCACAGAGAGAGAGTTGAATAAGATATTGGGGAATGAATTCCCTGGGGCATTGCCAAGAATTAAGGCCCAAAGAACATTTTAAGAAGGGAATACTGGTTGTCCAGGCTGTGGGAGGGGAAACTGGGAGGAAAACTGCCATGTGTTGACTCAGAGAACAAAACATGAGTCTGGTTTGGAGAGACGTGGTAATAGTTGTTTGGGTTTTAGATTTTCAGGCTAAGGACAATGGGATTGCAAGTACTTCATGCAGTGGGAGTGTAGGGTTAGATGCCATGGAAGAACCTGGGTAATGCAAGGTTTTGGGAGCTGAAAGCAGTGTGTGTCTGTATGTCACCATCCTATGATAGAAAAGCAAAATGGAAGGATTGTGAGGAGGAAAGCAGGCGACTTTGAGGAGAGTTGTAATAGGGAGGAGCTGTAATAGGTCTGCTTGTAAGAACTAGTAGAATATCAGAGTGTGAGATCTGGGACAGGCCCTGGGGAGAAAGGAAGAGTGAGGGAAGGGATATCAGGAGGCAGGCAGAGGGAACATTCAGGAGGGACTGGGGAATGGGAGCTGAGTTAATCAGGAAATTTGACCAAAGTGTGCAGACTACCAAGAGATGGAGAAGAAGTTATTTGAAAGAAAATGGGTTCATAGGGGGCTTGGGAACAGGGAGAACCTGACTTAGCCTATGAATGAAGTTTGTGGCTTGTAGAAGTCAGAATATGGGCAGAGGAGTTTCTCTTGGTAAATATATTTTTCTTGGCTATCAAAGGAGTGTCTGTGATGTGCCCACATTTGCTCTAGTTATTTAAGGTACTACAGAGAGCATCATGAGGGTCCATGAAAAAGTCTGTGGAAAGAGGGATTTGTAAGGTTGTTTCATTGTGTGTGTGTGTGTGTGTGTGTGTGTACAGAGAGAGAGATAGAGAATTATTCTTCTCCATTCAACTGATGATGTTTGAAGTCCTTGGCAATTTCTTGTTTCCCTGCCGTGAAGCATACTGCAATAAATACTGTGGTGAACGTATCTCTCTGATACAATATGTTCATGTATTTTGGGTTGTATCAGTAGAGAATTGTTCCATCATATGACAAGTCTGTTTTTATTTTCTTAAAAAATCTCTATATCGTTTTCCACAGTAGTTGCACTAATTTAAATTTTTACCACCAGTGTGTAATTGTTCCCCTTTTCCCACATCCTCCTCCTCATTGTGACTCTCTGTCCTTTCGGTTTTAGCCAGTATATACGTGTGAGCTGATATCTCATTGTGGTTTGCACTTGCATTTACCTGGTAGCTTGTGATGTTGAACATTTTTTCCTAAATTTGTTGGGCATCTGTATAACTGTCTGTTGAGTTCCTTTGGCCATTTCATAACCTGATTGGTGGTGTTTTTGCTTTTTTTTTTTTTTATTTTTTGACAGGCAGAGTGGACAGTGAGAGAGAGAGAGACAGAGAGAAAGGTCTTCCTTTTTGCCGTTGGTTCACCCTCCAATGGCCGCCGCGGCCAGCGCGCTGCGGCCGGCGCACCGCGCTGATCCGATGGCAGGAGCCAGGAGCCAGGTGCTTTTCCTGGTCTCCCATGGGGTGCAGGGCCCAAGCACCTGGGCCATCCTCCACTGCACTCCCTGGCCACAGCGGAGGGCTGGCCTGGAAGAGGGGCAACCGGGACAGAATCCGGAGCCCCGACCGGGACTAGAACCCGGTGTGCCGGCGCCGCTAGGCGGAGGATTAGCCTAGTGAGCCGCGGCGCCGGCCCTGTTTTTGCTTTTTTTTAAGTTGCAAATATATTCTTTTCTTTCTTTCTATTTTTTTAACTTTTATTTATTAAATATAAATTTCAAAAGTACCGTTTATGGATTACAATGGCTTTCCCCCCCATAACTTCACTCCCACTCGCACCTCTCCCATCTCCAGCTCCCTCTCCCATTCCATTCACATCAAGATTCATTTTCAATTATCTTTATATACAGAAGATCAATTCATTATATATTGAGTAAATATTTCATCAGTTTGCACCCGCACAGAAACACAAAGTGTAAAATACTGTTTCAGTACTAGTTATAGCATTACTTCACATAGGACAACACCTTAAGGACAGATCCCACATGAGGAGTAAGTACAAAGTGACTCCTGTTGTTGACTTAACAATTTGACACTCTTGTTTATGGCATCAATAATCTGCCTAGGCTCTAGTCATGAGTTGCCGAGGCTATGGAAGCCTTTTGAGTTCGCCGACTTCGATCTTATTCCGACAGGGTCATAGTCAAAGTGGAAGTTCTCTCCCCCCTTCAGAGAAAGGTACCTCCTTCTTTGATGGCCCCGTTCCTTCCACTGGGATCTCACTTGCAGAGGTCTTCCATTTAGGTCTTCTTTTTATTTCGGCCAGAGTGTCTTGACTTTCCATGCCTAAAATACTCTCATGGGGTCTTCAGCCAGATCTGACTGCCTTAAGGGCTGATTCTGACACCATAGTGCTATTTAGGACATCTGTATTGGTCTGTAATTTTCTTTCAATGCTGCATCATTTTCCGGCTTAGGAATTCAGGTGATGCTGGCTTCATAGAAAGAATTTGGGAGGATTCCTTTTTTTTTGATTGTCCTGAATAGTTTGAGGAGAGTGGAGTTAGTTCTTCTTTAAACGTCTGATGGTATTCAGCAGTGAATCCATCTGGTCCTGGACTTTTCTTGTTGGGAGTTCCTTTATTATTGTTCCAATTTCTGTCTCAGTTATTGGTCTTTTTAGGTTTTGTATGTCTTCCTGGTTCAATTTAGGTAGCTTGCATGTTTCCAAGAATCTATGCATTTCTGATAGACTTCCCTGTTTCCTGGCATACAAGTCCTTGTAGTAATTTCTGATGATTCTTTTTATTTCTGTGGTGTCTCTTGTTACATTTCCTTTTTCATCTCTGATTTTTATTGATTTGGGTCTTTTCTTTTTTAGTTAGTTGGGCCAATGGGGTGTCAATTTTGTTTATTTTTTCAAAAAACCAGCTCCTTGTTTGGCTGATTTTTTGTAATGTTGTTTTGGATTCAAACGTATTGATTTTTTCTCTGATTTTATTTTATTTCTCTTCTCCTACTAGATTTGGGTCTGGTTGCTGCAGCTTTTCTAGGTCCTTGAGATACATTGAAAGCTTATTTATTTGGTGCCTTTCCAATTTCTTGATGTAGGCACCTATTGCTATAAACTTGCCTCCTAACACTGCTTTTGCTGTGTCCCATAAGTTTTGATATGTTGTGTTGTTATCTTCATTTACTTCCAGAAAGTTTTTGATTTCTCTTTTGATTTCTTCTGTGACCCAGTGTTCATTCAGGAGCATGTTGTTCAATCTCCATGTGTTTGCATATGCTCTAGGCATTCCTGAGTTGCTAATTTCCAACTTCATTCCCCTATGGTCTGAGAAGCTGCATGGTATGATTCTAGTTCTTTTGAATTTGCTAAGACTTGCTTTATGGCCTAGTATGTGGTCAGTCCTAGAGAAGGTTCCATGCACTGCTGAGAAGAATGTAAATTATTTAAATGTAGAATGAAAAGCTCTGTAGATATCTGTTAGATCTATTTGGGCTACAGTGTCATTTAAATCTGCTGTTTACTTGTTGATCTTCTGTCTGGTTGATCTATTTCTGAGAAAGAGTATTGAAGTCACCCAGTACTACTGTATTGGAATCTAACTCTCCCTTTAAGTCCCTTAACATATCTTTTAAATAAACCAGTGCCCTGTATTTAGGTGCATATACATTGATAATCATTATATCTTCCTGTTGAATTGATCCCTTAATCATTATATAGTGGCCCTCTTTGTCTCTCTTCACAGTTTTTGTGTTAAAGTTTATGTTGTCTGATATCAAGATGGCTACGCCCACTCTTTTTGCATCTCTGTTAGCATGGTATATCTTTTTCCAGCCTTTCACTTCGTCTGCATGCATCTTTGTTGGAAAGATGTGTTTCTTGCAAGTAGCAAATAGATATCTGTGTCTTTTAACTCTAGAGTTGAGGCCATTAACGTTCAATGTGACTATTGATAAGTAGTAACTTTGCCCTGCCATTTTCCCAAAGATATTTTCTAATATATGCTTTGAACTTCCTCTGATCTTTTGCTGTGAGGTTTCCTTTCTTTACCTTCTTTCATATTGATGACCGTGTTTCTGTGTTTCTGTGTGTAACACATCTTTAAGCATCGTTTGCAGGGCTGGATGAGTGGTGACAAATTCTTTCAAATTCTGTTTGCTCTGAAAGGTCTTTACTTCACCTTGATCCACAAATGAGAGCATTGCAGGATATAATATTCTTGGATGGCAGTGTTTCTCTCTTAGTATCTGGGCAATGTCTCACCATTCCCTCCTAGCCTGTAGGTGCTGTGAGTCAAATTGAGATTAGATTTCTCTTTACTATCACACTTTCCTGTTCAACTAATTTCTGCATTTCATTTTGATTCCTCCTTAAGATTTCATTTTCATGAGAGAGATTTTCCAGTTTATCTAGTAAGGATTTCTGTAGTTCAAGAATTTGTTTTTGAAAAATTCTAAATGCTTTTATCATAAATTTTTTTGAAATCCGTATCCTGCATTTCTTTTATCTCGTCATCTTCATAATCTTGGCTTGGGGGTCTTGTTCATTTGGGGGCATCATAATGTCTTCCTTGTTCTTGTTTCCTCGGTTTCTGCGTTTGTTGCTTGGCATTGTGGAGATATTCTTTGGATTCTTCTTCCCTCGCTATGGTATTTTTTCTTGTTATACTATGACTGTATTAAGTGGACTGTCTGCTTTTGATGGAGCCTTAGAGGCTTGAGATGGGTGTGGCCAGAGTGCTCTGTTTGGTGCTTCAGGGTTAAGGGTCTGCCAAAGGTGACACACCCAGGTTAGGCATTGTACATCTCTCTCTCTCTCTCTCTCTCTCTCTGTCTCTCTCGCTCTCTCGATCTCTCTCTCTCTTTTTTTTTTTTTTGATTCAGAAGGGAAGAAATTCCGCACAGCTGAGCAGAATATTAGGTAGTCAGCTTCCAATCTCTGGCTCCTGTGGGTTTAACATTTGTCTGCTCTTTCCCAAGGATGACACCAAGAATCTGTGGTGCCCCCAGTGTGGGCTCAAATTCCCTTGCAGTCTCCCACCAGGTTGCCAAGGTTACTGAACTGTAGCGTCTCTGGTGAGTACTCACATGAACTCTGTGAGTTCTCTCACCCAATGTCTCTTTTTTCACAGTCTCAGTTCATTAGCTCCATGCATTCACTAGGTCCTAACCTCCTCTTATTTCACACACACACCCCAGAGTCAGGTTTTTCTGCTTTGCTGATGGCAGGCACTGCTTTAAGTATGTCCAAAATTGCGCCTGCTCTTTGTCTTGCTTGCCTTTGAGAGGTGAGCGGAGAGAAAGACTTGTGTCCGTACTGGTCCCCCCCTTTTTATTCCTCTCTCCTCTAGTTAGCCTGATGAACTTTCCCCCACGAGGCTTCAAGCCCTTAATGAGAAACCACTACAGATTTTTTGATTTGTTTGGGGGATTTATTTGTATATTTGAAAGTCAGAGTTACAGACAGGGAGGGAGAGACAGAGATCTTTCATCCACTGGCTATAAGAAGCCAGGAGCCAGGGGCAGCACTTTGTCTCCCCACAAGGGTGACAGAGGCCCAAACAATTGACCCATCCTCAGGAGCCGTTCCCCAGGTCTCTAAAAGGGAGCTGGATCAGAAGTGGAGCAGCCAGGGCAGGAATTTGTCTGATCAATGGATGCCTGTGCCACTGGTGGCCCTACCCACTACACCACAGCACTGGTATCTGGCCTCACTGTTTGTGACCATACTCGTAAGAACAGTCTTCGGAGAAGTGCACGCTGACCCATCTCAGTTGATATTTATAAATGATGAGAGATATGGATCTAATTCCATTCTTCTACATGAATACATCAAGCTTTGCCAGCACCGTTTGTTGAAGAGATTATACTTACACCAATGAATGATCTGAACCCTTTTGTCAAAAATCAGGTGGCCATATGTATTTAGACTAACTTAGGGATTCTCTGTTTCTCTCCATTGGTCTATGTCTCAGTTTTCTTATTGCCAGTCACATGATGTTTTAATTAGTATAGTTTTTTAGTATGCTGTGAAGTCAGGTATTGTGATGTCTCCAGCTTGATTTTTATTTTCTCAAGATCACCTTAGCGGTTCTGGATCTTTTGTGGTTCTGTATGAATTTGAAGGGTTGTTTTTTTCTAATTCTGTACAGAATATCATTGGTATTCTGTAGATTTCTTTCCCGTGAGATAGATATTTTAATGATACAGATTCTTCCAATCCACAAGCAAGGAAACTCTTTCCATTTTTTTGGGTGTCCTTGATGGTTCTTGGTCAGTGTTTGATAATTTTTATTGTAGAGCTCTTTCACTTATTTGATTAAATTTATTCTTAAGTATACTGATTTTTCTTCCCTCTTAACATTGCATTTGCTGTGTCCCATAGTTTTGTTATGTTGTACTGTTATCTTCAATCATTTCCAGAAATTTCTTGATTTCCATTTTGAGTTCTCCTATGACCCACCATTCATTCAGGAGCATGTTGCTCGGTCTCCATGTGTTTGCATATGTTCTGGAGTTTCTTGAGTTGTTATTTCCCATTTCCTTGCATTTTGGTCATAGAACATGCATGAAATGATTTCAGTTATTCAGTTTACTAGGCTTGCTTATGGCCTATCATATGTTGTGTTCTAGTGAATGTTCCAGGGATTGATGAGAAGAATGTGTATTCTGCAAGTGTGAGATGAAAAGTTCTGAGTTAGGACTTCCAACAAGGCAGCCTGTTCCCCGGGACACAGTGATGAGCGACTGAGTCATCTACAATTGTGACATAATGGAGGGCTTAGGAAACAGTTCAGGTGTTCTTTTAAGATACTGTTTTTTAGTTAAGAGATCCAAATTCCATGCATTTCATAAATGCAATTTAGGTACACAGTGATAGTACCGACCCTCCCTCCCTGTCTGTGGCACAACACATTGTGCACTTGGTTGTCTGACTCCGGGCAGTAGCCCCAGAACTGACCAGGCCAGGATGCTAGATGGGTATCTGCAGTTCAGTAGCCCTGATCACGGGCAGTTTGGCAGAGCTGTGCACCATGTGGGAGTGGCTGGGTGTCAGCCCAGAGGTCTAGAGAGCTCCACACTGCCCTGAGCTTCTGGTGGGCTGGATTGGGAGCAACGATGCCCTTGGAGTGCTCCTGATGATGGTGAGCACAGGAAAGGCATGTCAGGCTGGGGCTCAGGCAGCAGCCCGTGGTTCTTCAAGGTAGTGCGGCCTCTTCCACTGACACTGTGTATCCTTGGAGGAAGGGGCAGGTGTTAGTTGGATGGTGCTTGCATAGTAGGCCTCGGGGAGAAGTAGGCGATGTCTGTGGGAGTGGTGTCGAGGTTGAGGCCAGCTGGCAGTGGCATTGGCGGTAGTGTTACGGTAGGCTTGGAGAGTGCATGAGGGGTTTGCTGCGTTTAAGCTTACAGACATTGAGATGCCCAGGGCCTGCCTCAAAGGATGTGGGATCCGGGGCTTCCCAGCGGCATTCTCCCCCCAAATCCGCAGGTTCGGAGGCAGTGGGGGCGGGGGGTGGCTCAGCCATGAGGAAACCGAGAAGCAGATGCCTGCTACCCCTCCTGCCTCCCAGAGGACACGGATGTGAAATTAACCCAGGGTAGACTAGTGTTCCCTAGTAATTTGATGATACTGAGTTTTAGATTTTGTTCCTTGAAGTGTTTTTAGTAGCTTTTTTTTTGACAGGCAGAGTGGTGGATAATGAGAGAGAGAGATAGAAAGGTCTTCCTTTTCCGTTGGTTCACCCTCCAATGTCCACTGTGGCTGGCGCATTGCGGCCAGTGCACTGCGCTCATCTGAAACCAGGAGCCAGGTGCTTCTCCTGGTCTCCCATGTGAGTGCAGGGCCCAAGGACCTGGGCCATCCTCCACTGCACTCCTGGGCCACAGCAGAGAGCTGGATTGGAAGAGGGGCAACCGGGACAGAATCTGGTGCACCAACCGGGACTAGAAATCGGTGTGCTGCACCACAGGTGGAGGATTAGCCTATTGAGGCACAGTGCCAGCCATTTAGTTGCTTTTTTTATAGATGTAAGGTATGGGTCTTCTTTCAGAGTTCTGCATGACTGTGCAGTTTTCAGGACCATTTTTTGAAGAAACTGTCCCTTGCACCTGGGATTGATCTTCAGCTCCTTCTTCAAAGATAGATTAGTTGTTGATGTGTGGGTTATTTCAGGTGATTCTTTTCTGTTCCTTTGTTCTATATGTCAGTTTTTTACTATACCAAGCTGTTTTGATTGTAACTGTCCTGTGCTGTGTTTGGCAATTTGTTATTGTGATGCTTCGAGTTTTGTCAATGTTGTATAAGGTTGCTTTCTCTATTCAGATGTTCTGTGCTTTCATAAGAATTTTAGCATTGTTTTCTCTCCATCTGGGCAAAATGCTATTTGACCTTTGCTCGGGATCCCATTGTGTCTGTAAATTGCTTATGGTAGTGTGGATATGTGCATTATGTTGATTTTGTGAATGAGTCAGCGTGGAAGATTTTTCCATTTTTGTGTGTCTTCTTCCATTTCTTTAATATTTTGTAACTTTTTTGCAGACATTTTCATGGATATGAAACTGGACACCGAGTTGACGCTGCAGTTCAGCTGCTGGGTAATCTTCCATTTCTGGAACCTCCTTGGCTTCCTGGTAAAACCCAGCTGTGCCTTCACCCTGGACAGGAGCAACTGGTTAGTACATGTGGCTGCGCCCTGTTGATGGCAACCCTTGGGCCCAAAGGGGAACGGAGGGAAGGGAAGGGAACCCTGTTCCCTGCAGTTGGGCTGGCCAGGCTGAGAACAAGGTGGACTTCCAACCTTTGGGATGGAGGGTCAAGTCGGGGAGCCCTATATACATGTGGAGACAGAATGTGGGGGCCTAGCATTCCTAGAATTGAGTGGGGGCCACAGAGACAGAAGTGAATAAGATGTTGGTGAATGAGTTCCCTGGTTCTTTGTAGTTTATTAAGGCCCATAGAACATGCTAAGCAGGGAAGACTGGGTTTCCAGGCAGTGGGAGGGAGACCTGGAAGGAAAACTTCATGTGTTGACTCAGAGTACAAAACATAAGATGTCTCGTTTTAGGAGACCTGGTAATAGTTTTTCGGTTTTAGAATTTCAAGCTAAGGATAATTGGATTGCAAGTACTTCATGCAGCGGCAGTAGAGAGTTAGATGCTATGGAAGAACCTGGGTCATGCAAGGTTTTGGGAGCTGAAAACAGGTTATTTCTGTATGTCACTATCCTATGATAGGTAAAATGGAAGGATTGTGGATAGGAAGGCAGGTGACTTTGAGGAGAGTTGTAATAGGGAGGAGCTGGTACGTCTACATGTAAGAACCAGTGGAACATCATAGTGTGATATCCGGGACAGGGCCTGGGGAGAAACCTTAGGAAAGGTGAGGGAAAGGATATCAGGAGGCGGGCAGAGGGAACTTCCAGGAGGGACTGGGAATGGGTGCTGAGTTAATCAGGAAATTTGAGCAAAGTCTACAGAGTACCAAGAGATGGAGAGGATCTTATCTGAAATAAAATAAGGGTTGATAGGGGCTTGGGAACCTGGAGACCCTGTCTTTGGCTGGGAATGAAGTTTGTGGCTTATAGTCAGTTTGTAGAAGTCAGAATTATAGCAGAGGACTTTCTCTTGGTAAACGTGTTTTTCTTGGCTTTCAAAGGAGTGTCTGCTATGTGCCCACATTTGTTCTAATTACTTAAGGTAATGCAGAGAGTATCATGAGGGTTTTTGAAAAAGTTTGTGGAAAGAGGGATTTGTAAGGTTGTTTCATTGTGTGTGTGAGAGTGTGTGTGTGTGTGTACGTATGTATGTATAGTATTATGCTTACGCATTTAACTGATGAAAATGTCTTGTTTTCACTGCTGTGAAGCATACTGCAATAAATATTGTGGTGGACGTATCTCTCTAATAGAATATGTTCATGTGTTTTGGGTTATATCCAATAGATGGGTTGCTCCATCATATGGCAAGTCTATTTCTGGTTTCTTAAAAATCTCCATACCGTTTTCCACAGCAGCTTCACCAATTTACATTCCCACCACAGTGTGTAAGTGTTCTTCTTGTCCCACATCTTCCTCATCATTGTGACTCTCCGTCCTTTGGGTTTTAGCCAGTATGTACGTGTGAGCTGATATCCCATTGTGGTTTGGATTTGCATTTCCCTCATAGGTTATGATGTTGAGCATTTCTTCCTGTATTTGTTGGCCATCTGTATATCTATGGGGAACTTTCTGTTGAGTTCCTTTGGCCATTTCATATCTGGATTGGTTGTGTTTTTTCTTGCTGCTATTTTTTTCTAAGTTGCAGATGTATTCTTGATATTAATCCTTTGTCAGATAGGTAGCTGACAGATATCTTTTGCTCATTCTGTTGTATGTCTCTTCCATCTGTGATGACTTCCTTTGCTGTGCAAAGCTTTTAATTTCATTTAATCCCATCTGTTTAGTTTTGATTTTGCTGCTGGTCTTTGAGGGTCTTTTCCAAGGGTCATCACCTATTCCAGTGTCTTGGAGCTTTTCTTTGTATTACCTTCAAAAAGCTTCGTAGTCTCAGGTTATAGATTTAGGTCTCTGATCTGTTTTGAGTTGATTTTCCTATTTTATGGGAATTATGAATCTAATTTCAATGTTCTACACAAATACATCCATTTTTTGCCAACGGCATTTGTTGAAGAGTTTTTCCTTACTCCGATGGATAAGTCTGAATCCTAAAAATCTGGTGTTGTACATATTTGGATTAATATTGGAGCTCGCCTTGTTTTCTTCCACTGGTCTGTGTGTCACTTTTTATGCAAGTGCTTTGATATTTTGTTTAGGGTAGATTTGTAGAATACTTTGAATCAGATGTTGTGAGGCATCTAGGCTAATTTTGTTTTGTCTTTTTCTCAGGAACACCTTATCTATTCTGGATCTTGTGTGATTTTTATGAATTTTCAGTTTGTTATATGTAATTCTATAAAGAATGTCATTGGTGTTTGGATACAAATTTAATTGAATATTTAGGTAGCTTTAGGTGGGGTAGAGATTTTTATTATACTGATTCTTCAAATCCACCAAAAGGGATATCTTTCCATTTTTTGTGTCCTTGGTGAGTTCTTTCATCAGTATGGTGATTTTCATGATAGAGCTCTTTGGCTTCTTTGCTTACATTAATCTTTTTTTTTGGCAGGCAGAGTGGACAGTAAGAGAGAGAGAGAGACAGAGAGAAAGGTCTTCCTTTTGCCGTTGGTTCACCCTCCAATGGCTGCTGCGGCCAGAGCACTGTGGCCGGTGCACATTGCTGATCCAATGGCAGGAGCCAGGTGCTTCTCCTGGTCTCCCATAGGGTGCAGGGCCCAAGCACTTGAGCCATCTTCCACTGCACTCCCTGGCCACAGCAGAGAGCTGGCCTGGAAGAGGGGCAACCGGGACTAGAACCCAGTGTGCCAGCACTGCAAGGCAGAAGATTAGCCTAGTGAGCTGTGGCGCTAGTGACATTTAGTCTTAAACATTTTATTTCTGTCATTATTATCTTTGGGATTTTTTTGATTGCTGTGTCAGTGAGTTCCTCATTAATGTATAAACACTGCTGCTTACACAGTATGCTTATTTGTAACCTGTGACTTCACTTAATTGTTTCACCAGTTAGCAGCGTTTTTGGTGGATTGTTTTAGTTTTTTCTGGTACCATATCATGTCACCTGAAAGCATTTAGAATTTCAATTTGTCTTTTATAATCTAGGTGCTGTTTATTTCTTTCTTTATTCTCCTTTCAGTTGTGAAAATTTATAGTACTGCATTCTGTCAGAGTGGTAAAAAGGGACATCCTTGTGTTACATGTTTGACAAAAATGCTTTCACTTTTTGCCCATCCAGCATGCCATTGGCTTTGAATTGTAATACATGGCCTTTAGGATTTTGATGCCTAATCCTTTTTTTTTTTGACAGAGTGGACAGTGAGAGAGAGAGAGACAGAGACAGAGATAAAGGTCTTCCTTTTGCCGTTGGTTCACCCTCCAATGGCCGCCGCGGCTGGCGCCCTGTGGCAGGCGCACCGTGCTGATCCGATGGCAGGAGCCAGGTACTTATCCTGGTCTCCCATGGGGTGCAGGGCCCAAGCACTGTGCCATCCTCCACTGCACTCCCTGGCCACAGCAGAGAGCTGGCCTGGAAGAGGGGCAGCCGGGACAGAATCCAGCGCCCCGACCAGGACTAGTACCCAGTGTGCTGGCGCCTCAAGGCAGAGGATTAGCCTAGTGAGCTGTGGCGCCGGCCCGCCTATTCCTTTTATACCTACTTTGTGGAGGTTTTTTTTTTTTTAATAATGAATGGGATTGAATCTTTTCAGGTTGTTTCTCTGTATCTAATGAGATGATAATGTGCTTTTTTTAAAAAAAAATATTTATTGCATTTTTTGCGAGAATTACAGAGAGAAAAACATAGTGAGAACAGGTGAGCGAGAGAGAGAGAAGATGAGAGTGAGAGAGAGAAAGAGGTGTTATAGGCTGCAGCAGTATGGTAGGCTTGAAGAGTGCAGGAGATATTTACTGCATTTAACTTATGGGACAGAGATGCCCAGGGCATCTACCCAGCGACATTCTCCCCCCAAATCTGCAGGCTTGGAGGCCGTGGGGGTGGGCAGCAGATCTATTGGGAGGAAGCCAAGAAGTGGATGTCTGCCTCCCCTGCTCCCTCACACAGGGCACGGATGTGAAACTAACCCAGAGTGGACGGTGAAGCGCAACTGCCGGGTGTTCTTCCAGTTCCAGAGACTGCATGGTGTCCTGCTCAATGCCAGCTGGACCTTCTTCCTGGAGAAGAGCAACTGGTGAGCAGATGTGGCCCCCTCAGCTGTGTCCATGTCCTGGGTGCCCAAGGGGAAGGGAAGGGACAGCGCGTTCCCTGGGATTGGGGGCCCAGGCAAATAGTGATGTGGACTTCCGCCCTGTGGCAGGGAGGGTCATGTGGGTAGTCCCACAGACATGGGGAGAAATGTAGGGGCCTGGTGGGCTTCAGTAGAGTATGAGAGCATGGAAACAGGGTGGGTATTATGTTGGAGAATGAGTTCCCCGGGGCTCTGCAGAGCATTAGGGGCCAAAGAACATGGTAATAGGGGAATACTTCGGTTTCCAGGAAATGGGAGGGAGACCTGGAGGACAAGTGTGTGCTGTTGAGTCAGAATACAAAACCCAAGAGGTCTGGATTGGAGAGATGTGTTAATAAAAGTTTGGGTTTTAGATTTCGGGGCTAAGAATGATGGGATTGGAAGTAAATTGTGTGGTGGGAGTGGAGGGTTAGATGTCATGGAAGAACCTATGGCATGCAAGGTGTTGGGTGTAGAAATCAGGTAATTTCTTTATATTGCCACTCTGTGATATAGACAGGGAAATGGAAGGAGTGTATGGAGGAGGTCAGGTGACTTTCAGTAGAGTTGTAATAGGGAGGAGCTTGTAGGTCTACTAGTAGAACTGGTGGAGTCTCCAAGTGTTAGACCTGGGACAGGGCCTGGGCAATAACCTTAGGAAAAGTGAGGGTAAGAAAATGGTGAGGGGTATAGTGTGGCACAACAGGGACAGAATCTGGCGCCCTGACTGGGACTAGAACCCGGAGTGCTAGTGCTGCAGGTGGAGGATTAGCCTATTGAGCAGCGGCGCTGGCCTGGATATTAATCTTTTTTCAGTTTCATAGTTAGCAAATCGTTTCTCCCATCCTTTTGGTTGCCTCTTTACTTTACTGAGTGTTCCTTTTCTAGTGCAGAAGCTTCTCAGCTTGATGGAATCACATTCGTTTGTTTCAGCTTTTATTGTGCTACTGGCATTTTTTTCCGAGAAATCTTTCCCTAAGTCAATGTAATTCAGTATTCCCCAATGTTCTCTAATAATATGATGATATTGAGTTTTAGATTTTGTTCCTTGACGTGTTTTAGTTGCTTTATGTATAAGGTGCAAAGTATGGGTCTTCTTTCATAGAAGTGCATGTGGAGGTCCAGTTTTCTCAGGACCTTGTTTTGAAGAAACGGTCCTTTGAACCTGGGATTGATCTTTAGCTCCTTCTTGAAAGACAGAGTAGTTGTAGATGTGTGTGTTATTTCAGGTGTTTCTTTTCTGTTACTTTGTCTATATGTCATTTTTTTTGCCTCTAGCAAAGTGTTTTGATTGTAACTGTCCTGTGCTCTGTCTGCAATGTGTTATTGCAATGCTATGAGTTTTTTATGTTGTATAAGGTTGCTTTCTCTATTCAGATGTTCTGTGTTTTCATATTAATTTTAGCATTGCTTTCTCTCCATCTGGGCAAAATGCTATTTGACCTTTGCTCGTGATCCCATTTTGTCTGTAAATTGCTTATGGTAGAATGGATATTTGCATTTTGTTGATTTTGCCAATGAGTCAACATGGAAGATTTTTCCGTTTTTGTGTGTCTTCTTCCATTTCTTAAGGTTTTGTAACTTTATTTGTAGACATTTTCATGGATATGAAACTGGACACCGAGTTGACGCTGAAGTTCAGCTGCTGGGTAATCTTCCATTTCTGGGGACTGCTCTGCTTCCTTGTAAAACCCAGCTGGGCCTTCATCCTGGACAGGAGTAACTGGTTAGTAGATGTGGTTGTGTCCTGTTGATGGCAGCCCTTGGGCCCAAGGAGGAGAGAAGGGAAGGGAAGGGAACCGTGTGCCCTGGGGTTGGGCGTCCAGGCTGAGAGCAAGGTGGACTTCCAACCTTTGGGATGCAGGGTCAAGTGGTGGGAGCCCTATACATGTGGAGACAGAAATTTGGGGACCTAGCATTCCTAGAATAGAGGAACCACAGAGACAGAGGTGAATAAGATTGGGGAATGAATTCCCTGGGGCTCTGCTGAGAATTAAGGCCCAAAGAACATCCTAAGAAGGGAAAATTTGTTGTCCAGGCTGTGGGAGGGGAAACTGGGAGGAAAACTGCCATGTGTTGACTCAGAGAACAAAACATGAGTCTGGTTTGGAGAGACGTGGTAATAGTTGTTTGGGTTTTAGATTTTCAGGCTAAGGACAATGGGATTGCAAGTACTTCATGCAGCAGGAGTGGAGGGTTAAATGCATGGAAGAACCTGGGTCATGCAAGGTTTTGGGAGCTGAAAGCAGTGTGTGTCTGTATGTCACCATCCTTTGATAGAAAAGCAAAATGGAAGGACTGTGAGGAGGAAGGCAGGCGACTTTGAGGAGAGTTGTAATAGGGAGAAGCTGTAATAGGTCTGCTTGTAAGAACTAGTGGAGCATCAGAGTGTGAGATCCGGGACAGGCCGAGTGGAGAAACCTTAGTTAAACTGAGGGATATGATATCAGGAGGTGGGCAGAGGGAAGTTTCAGGAGGGATTGTGGAATGGGAGCTGAGTTAATCAGGAAATTTGACCAAAGTGTGCAGACTACCAAGAGATGGATAAGAGGTTATTTGAAAGAAAAAGGGTTGATAAGTGGCTTGGGAACATGGAGATCCTGATTTAGCCTATGAATGAAGTTTGTGGCTTGTAGAAGTCAGAATCTGGGCAGAGGAGTTTCTCTTGGTAAATATATTTTTCTTGGCTTTCAAAGGAGTGTCTGCTATGTGCCCACATTTGTTCTAGTTATTTAAGGTACTGCAGAGAGTATCATGAGGGTCCATGAAAAAGTCTGTGGAAAGAGGGATTTGTAAGTTTGTTTCATTGTGTGTGTGTGTGTTTTTGTGTATATATAGAGAGAATTATTCTTATCCATTCATCTGATGATGTTTGAAGTCTTTAACATTTTCTTGTTGTCGCTGCTGTGAGCCATACTGCAAGAAATATTGTGGTGGACGTATCTCCCTGATAACAATACGTTTATGTATTTTGGGTTCTAGCCAGTAGAGGGCTTGCTTCATATCATATCACAAGTTTGTTTCTGGTTTCTTAAGAAATCTCCATACTGTTTTCCACAGTGACTGCACTAATTTACATTCCCACCACCAGTGTGTAATTGTTCCCCTTTTCCCACGTCCTCCTCCTCATTGAGACTCTCTGTCCTTTGGGTTTTAGCCAATATGTACGTGTGAGCTGATATCTCATTGTGGTTTGGATTTGCGTTTCCCTGATAGCTTGTGATGTTGCTATTTTTCCCTATATTTATTGGGCATCTGTATATCTATGGGGAACTGTCTGTTGAGTTCCTTTGGCCATTTCATAATTGGATTGGTTGGTGGTTGTTTTTTTTTTTTTTTGCTGTTGTTTTTTTAAAGTTGCAGATGCATTCTTGATATTAATCCTTTGTCAGATAGGTAGCTGACAGATATCTTTTTCTCATCCTGTTGGATGTCTCTTCAGTCTATGATGATTTCCTTTGCTGTGCAAAGATTTTAATTTCATTTAATCCCGTTTTTTAGTGTTGAATCCAGCACCCCAACTGGTACTAGAACCCGGGGTGCTGCTGCCACAGGCAGAGTATTAGCCAAGTGAGCTGTGGTGCCGGCCTTGCTTCGTTTTTTGCCCAGTAACACCTTAGCTATTCTGCATCTTCTGTGATTTTGTATGAATTTTAGGTTGTTTTATGTAATTCTGTAAAGAACGTCATTGCCGTTTTGATATAATTTTGGTTGAATCTTTAGGTAGTGTTAGGTAAGGTAGAAATTTTAATTAGACTGATTCTTCAAATCCACCAAAAGGGATATCTTTCCATTTTTTGAGTCGTTGGTGATTTCTTATATCAGTGTATGGTGATTTTCATGATAGAGCTCTTTGGCTTCTTTGGTTAAATTTAGTCTTAAACATTTGATTTCTGTGCTTATTGTCCTTGGGATTATTGTTGATTGCTCTGTCAGTGAGTTCATCATTAATGTATAAGCACTGCTGCTTACACACTATGTTTATTTGTAACCAGTGACTTCAAGAATTGTTTCACCAGGTCTAGCAGTGTTTTTGGTGGATTGTTTTAGTTTTTTTCTGGTACCATATCATGTCACCTGAAAGCATTTAGAATTTCACTTCCTCTCTTAAAATATGGTGCAGTTTTTTTCTTTCTTTCTTTCTCTTTGAAAATTTACAGTACTGCATTCAGAGTGGAAAAAGGGGCCATCCTTGTGTTACATGTTTGACAAAAATGCTTTCACTTTTTGCCCATCCAGCATGGCATTGGCTGTTGATTTGTCATACATAGCCTTTATGATTTTGATGCCTATTCCTTCTATACCCACTCTGTGTTTTTTTTTTAGCATGAATGAGAGTGAATCTCTTCTGATTATTTCTCTGTATGTAATGAGATGATAATGTGGTTTTTTAAAAAAAGTTTTCATGCATTCATTTGCAAGAAAAACAGAGAGAAAAACAGCAAGAGCACGTGAGAGAGAGAGAGGATGAGAGTGAGAGAGGGGGAAGGTCTTCCATTTGCCAGTACACTCCCCAAAAGACCGTGATGGCCAGACTGAGCCAATATGAAGTCAGGATCCAGGACCACCTTCTGGGTCTCCCATGTGGCTGCAGGGTCCCAAGGAATTTGGACATCCTCCACCGCTTCCCCAGGCATGTTAGGAGGGAGCTGGATTGGAAGTGGTGTTGCCAGAACACACACTGGCACCCACATGGAAAGACAGCACTGCATGCCGTGGCTTTAACGCGGTGTAACACAGCACCAGCCCTGCTTGTCTGACTCCGGGCAGCAGCCCTGGCTCCGACCAGGCCAGGGATGCTAGGCAGGCATCCGCCGTTCTGTACCCTGACCACGGGCAGTTTGGCAGAGCGCTGCACCAATGGGAGTGGCTGGGTGTCAGCCCGGAGGTCTAGAGAGCTGCATACTGCCCCGGAGCTTCTGGTGCACTGGATGGCGATCCCCGATGTCCCTGGAGCACTGCTGATCATGGTGAGCACAGGGCGGCCATGCCAGGCTGTGGCTACTAAGGTGGTTGTCCCTGGTTCATCAAGGCAGCGCGGCTTCTTCCGCTGACGCTGTGTATCCTGGGAGGAAGGGGCGGGTGTTAGTTGGATGGCGCTTGCGCAGTAGGCCTCAGGGAGAAGTAGGCGACGTCTGCTGCAGTGGCGTCATTGTCGACTGGTGGTGTTATTGGCAGTAGTGTTATGGTAGGCTTGGAGAGTGCGGGAGGGATTAGCTGCACTTAAATTTACGGTACAGAGATATCCAGGGCTTCTTCCCATGGCGTTCTCCCCCAAATCCGCAGGTTCAGAGGCAGCACGGGTGGGCAGCAGCTCAGCCATGAGGAAGCAAAGAAGCAGATGTCTGTTTCCCCTCCTCCCCCGCAGAGGACACAGATGTGAAACTAATGCAGGGTGGACGCTGAAGCTCAGCTGCTGGATAATCTTCCAGTTCCGGAGACTGCATGGCTTCTGCTCAACCCCAGCTGGGCCTTCATCCTGGAGAGGAGCAACTGGTGAGCAGATGTGGCCACCCCAGTGGTGGCTGTGGCCTGGGTGCCCAAGGGAAAGGGAAGGGACAGCCCGTTCCCTGGGGTTGGGCAGCTCAGGCAAGCAGTGATGTGGACTTCCATCTTGTCACAGGGAGGGTCATGTGGGTAGCCCCACAGGCATGGAGAGAAATGTAGGGGCCTGGTGGGCTTTAGTAGAGTTGGAGACCATGGAGACCGGGTTGGATAGGAAGTAGGGGAATGAGTCCCCGGGCTCTGCAGAGAATTAGGGGCCAAAGAAGATGGTAAGAGGGGAAGACTTGGGTATCTGGGAAATGGGAGGGAGACCTGGAGGAAAAGTGTGTGCTGTTGAGTCAGAATACAAAACCCAAGAGGTCTGGTTTGGAGATGTGTTAATAAAAGTTTGGGTTTGAGATTTTGGGGCTAAGTATGACAGCATTGGAAGTATTTTGTGTGGTGGGAGTGGAGGGTTAGATGTCATGGAAGAACCTATGGCATGCAGGGTGTTGGGAGCTGCAATCAGGTAATTTCTGTCTATCACTATCCTGTGATATAGATAGGGAAATGGAAGGATTTAATGGAGGGGTCAGGTGACCTCAGTAGAGTTGTAATAGGGAGGAGCTGGTAGGTCTACTAGAAGAACTGGTGGAGTCTCCAAGTGTTAGACCTGGGACAGGGCCTGGGCAACAACCTTGGGAAAATGAGGGTAAAGAAACGGTGAGGGGTACAATGTGGTCTTTCTTAGGGACTGTGGTATGGGTGCACGGTTAATTAGGAAACTTCTACAAAGGTCTTGGAATACCAGGGATGGAGAGAGGCTTATGTGGAAGAAAACTGGATAGGTGTTGTGCTTAGGAACACAAGAACCTGATGAAGCCTGGAATGTAATTTGTGGCTTGAGGTCAGCTTACAGAAGTCGTCCAGCTGGACTTGACCCAGCACCCATATGGGATGCCGACACTGCAGGAGGCACCTTTACTCAGAATGCCACAGCTCTAGTCCCTAGTCCATTTCTGATCCTGCTTTATGCTAGTGCATCAAAGCAGCAAAGGACAACCCAAGTGCTTGTGACTTTGCACCCACGTGGGACACCTGGAAAAGGCTCTTGGTTCCTGTCTTCATCTTGGTCCAGTGCTGGCTGTTTTGGCCATTTGAGAAGTCAAGCAACAGATGGAAGATCTCTTCCTCTTTCTCTCTCTCTGTATGTAACAGTGTTTTTGTGGTAAACAAAATAAATCTTCTAACAATAAGGAAAAAAAACAGAAACCCTAGTTTAGTGTGAATATAAGCAACAAATATAATTGGTTGAATGGAAAAATAACCATTTATTCAATACACTCTAAATTTAAAGTAATCACAGATTGTCACAACTATACTAAAGTAACATTCTTGCTTCTTTTTCTTTTACTTTTTTGGACAGGCAGAGTGGACAGTGAGAGAGAGAGAGAAAGAGAGAAAGGTCTTCTTTTACCATTGTTTCACCCTCCAATGGCCACTGTGGAGCAGCGGGAGTAGAACAAACAGCAACCGGGACTAGAACCCGGTGTGCCGGCGCTGCATGCAGAGGATTAGCCTATGGCGCTGCAGCGCCGGCCTCTTTTTCATTTTTTAAAGATTTATTTATTTGAAAGATAGAATTTCTGAAAAAGGTAAAGATATATAAATATATATATATATATATATATATATAGAGAGAGAGAGAGAGAGAGAGAGAGAGAGAGAGAGAGAGAGAGAGAGATATCTTCCCTCTGCTGGTTCATCCCCAAATGGCCACAATGGCTTGAAGTTAGCCGATCCAAAGTTATGAACGAGGAGCTTATCCCAGTCTCCCACGTAGGTGCAGGGTCCTAGGACTTGGGCCATCTTCTACCGCTTTCCCAGTCCATAGCAGAGAGCTAGATCAGAAGAGGAGCAGCGTGAACTAGAACCTGTGCCCATGTGGGGTGCCCACCTTTCAAGCCTGGGCTTTCACACACTGCCACACAGCACCTGCCCCTTCAATTATTTTTAAAATGAATGAAAAGAGAACATATTTCATGCATTCTTTAGGTACAGTTCCAAGAATAAACCCAGACCTTCCTCTCTTCCCCTTTCCCCTCCCTTCATGGCCTCTTCTTTTCATCATGTTTTCAAAATATGATTTTAATCCATGTTATATTCAGGGTAACCTTACTATTCATTGGGTAAAAGGTAGAAAGAATAAAGTTCCACCGGAGCAGTATAATTTTTTTATTTAAAAATTATTTTCTTGAGAGGCACTGTTACAGAGAGAGGTAGACATAGAGTTAGAGGTCTTCCATCCATATGGGTTCAATGCACGAATGGCCACAGTGTCTGCAGGTGGGCCATTCCATAGCGAGGAACCAAGAGCTTCTTCCATCTTTCCCAGTAGGTTGCAGGGGCCCAAGCCCCTGGGCCATTTCCACTGCTTTCTCAGGCCATCAGCAGGGAAGTGGATTGGAAGTGGAGCAGCTGGACTTGAACTGGTGTCCATATCAGATGCCGGCACCACAGTGGATGCTTAACATACTATGCCACCATTCCGGCCCCAGTACTCTGTTCTTAACAATTGGTTTGTCCAGGTTATGAAACAGTGTTTTCTAGGAGTATATTTTTAGCAGTAGTGCTACACATTGGCATTTACTTTTTTTTTGCTTTTGTGTTTTGATTTTTCAACAAACTTAACTTACATGTGGTATTTTTCTTTTTCTGGCTTATTTCATTTTTCTTTTTTCTTTAAAAATTTTGACAGGTAGAGTTATAGACAATGAGAGTGAGAGACAGAGAGAAAGGTGTTCCTTCTGTTGGTTCATTCCCCAAATGGTGCTATGGCCGGCGTTGCACCAGCCCTCTGGCTTATTTCTCTAACGTGAAGTCCTCCAGTTACTCCATGTTGATGCACTTGAAAAAATTTCATTATTTTTAAGTCCTGAATAACATTTCATTGTAGATCTGTACCATGTTTTCTTATTCTTATGATGATAGAAATCTTTGTTTAATCTTTGTAAATAAATCCTTGTTTATTCCTTGTGATTGCTGTGAACCATATTGCGATCAGCATGGTGGTGGAGCTATCTCTTTGATACAATAATGTTCATTTCTTTTGGGTGTATACCCAGTAGTGGGATTGCTGAAGCATATGGCAGGTTTGTTTCTGTTTTTTTAAAGATCTGTTTATTAGAGAGGCAGAGTTACAGACAGAGAGAGGGAGTGGCAGATAGAAAGGTCCTTCGTCAGCTGGTTCACACCTGAAATGGCTGTAGTGGCCCAAGCTGCATCAGGCCAAACCTGGGAGGCAGGAGTCCCTGCTTCCTGCACCCAAGGTTCTGCATGGGTATGCAGAGGTCCAAGCTCTTGGACCATCCTCCACTCCTTTGCGCAGGACATCAGCAGGGAGCTGAAGTGGAAGCGGGGCAGTTGAGACTTGAACCGATGAACATATGGGGTGCTGGCGCTGCAGGTGAAGGCTTAGCCTGCTATCCACAGTGCCAGCCCCTCCTTTCCTTTTCTGTAGTGTCTTCTTCCAGTGTAACTTGAAATAGTAAAGCTTTATATTTATACGTGCCATCAACACTTAGGCAAAGCAAAGTATGGGCTAGGGGATAAAGTCAACATTTTTTGAAAATTTGAAATTTTTGAAATTTTTTATTTATTTGAGAGGATGGGAATTAGAGAAAGAATTTCTCATCCACTGATTGAATTCTGAGATGCCTGAAATAGCCAAGGCTGCACTGGGGCCAAGTATGGAGCTGAGAACTCAATCCCAGTCTCCCACGTAGGTTTCAGGAGCCCAGTTACTCGGAACCATCACCCCTGCCTCCCAGGATTTGCACTACCTGGAAACTGGAATCAGTCAAAGCAGAAGCCAGGAAGGAAACCAAGGCACTCCATTATGGGCATGGGCTTCCTAACCAGTGTGTTAGCTGTGAGGCCAAATACCACAATTGCCCCCATTGTTTTATAATATAGAATATAAAGGACATATTTTAGTAAAGTGCAGAACAAAAGACTAATAATAAGCTTCTGGCTGCTATGTCTGATGATAAAGCAAGGTCACAAACAGAAGTTGGCACTGATGGGGGCTGGTGTTGTGCCACTGGGTAACACTGGCATTGCTATCAGAGTACTGTTTCAGACAGTCCCAGATGCTCTGCCTCTCATTGAATTCCCTGCTAATGCAGCTAAGAAAGAGCAGAGAATGGATCAAGGACCAGGACCCCTGTCACTCAGATGGAGCTCCAGGGTCCTGTCTTCAGCCTGGCCAGTCTGGCTATAAAGGGAGTGAAACAGCAGATGGAAGATCCATCTCTCTCTCTCTCACTCTCACTCTTCTTCTTTCCCTGCCTACCAGAAAGATAATTTTATCTCTAAACTGCAAATTACCTGATTGTTTTCCCCCAGAAACCTTTTATTTAAGGAATATAAACTTTATACATTCCATAATTGCAACTTTAGGAACTTGGTGATTCTTCCCATGGTACCCAGGATCCCACCAACATTCTCACACCTCTTCCTCCTTCCTCTACTATTCTCATACTAAGTTTTTGCTAAGATAACTTTATTTGAATATTTATTTTTTAATTAGTATGAAATTATTCACATTTTATTTTTCCCTTTCTCTTGCTTGTTTCTTTCTTCCCTCTACAGAGCTCAGAAAATATTAGTAAATATGTTTAGATATGTGAATAACCATTTTTGGCATTTCCTTTTTGAAAGGATTTTTTTAAAGATTTATGACATATTAAATTTTACTGATAACTGATTGATAACACTATACCAGGAGATATCAGAGTTCTTGGAATTTGACATTTTCTGGAGCATTAAGAATTCTACATATGTCCATACAAATATAGC